GTCAGACGCGATTGTTCATGCCAAAATCCGATTACATGAAGTAATTCATGCATAAGGTTGCCACGTTTGCATGAGCCATCACTTCCAACACCAAGTATTTGTCTTCCACCGATTCGTCCAATATGGGAATAGCAACTGCAATAAGCCAATAACAAGCATACTTGTATATTATCACTTTCTGTATTACTTTACCAGTAAATCAAATATCTTCAGCGCTTGTTATATTTCCTTTCGATATATCATTCAAATATTTTGGCCGTTATAAAGTAAAGCTAAGAAATCGCTTCTACCTTAATGATCCTTGAAATAGTACATAATCCTCTTCGCGTTCCAGAGGTTTAAATCTTAAACAAGATTTCGCTTCAATATCTAAGATAGCTTGTATTAAGTTTAGTTTTGTTGGGTCATCTGTATAAGAGAAGTCGATGCGTTACGATGACATAAATACGGTAATAAAATTGTCATTGTTGAGAAAGTAAAAGCAATATTATTGCACGATTTTGAGGCTGCTGTTTTATTTTAATTACATAACTGCATCATTAATGCGTAAAATTCTATTTTAAAAGATTCATCTTAGTGTATTCTACACACTACTAATCCTAAACACTTAATATAGTAAGAAGTGCTACTGCTCACCAACTGTTTTATCAATTATATAAGGGATAAATCTTTTATTCCACAGGCCGGTTACGTCTTGTATCATCGATCTTAAGCTGCGGCTATTTTTATTCTCATTTAGCGGATCAGCATTTACGATATGCTGAACTGTGGGTGTAAGTATGATATCGCCTTCAAAGAGTTCTGGTTCTTTTTCTACGTATTTTATAAGGTTGGTGGTAAAATTTTAATAAAAACTATATTTAGTTTGTAATTAAATGAAATTATAAAAATTAAGAGAATTTGGTCCACATCATCGGCTTTATTTTACAAACTCGTATTTTATTTCTTATGCTTTATTTTACCTTTATGGTTGTCGTAAGTTTCCTGTTTCGCCGCAAGACTACCTTGGGAATTGTGATTAACTTTCTGATTAATTTCTAAGTAGTTGTTATAGTTTTGGTTAATTTACCTATATTTCAATTTCTTTAGTGATAGCAAGCTTCAAAACTACCTCAGTCTTTCAACTATATCATATTTAATTCAAGAATAATTCAAAACGTAATAGCGTTATAAATTACTAACCTTTAACAGACTTTTGCTGCACAGAGGTCTGCTTTGCTATATTTTTAACCCCTTTCTTACTTAACGACTCAATCATTAATTCACTTTTTATCTCTTCAACGAGTTCAGTTTTATCTTCTACCGCAAAGCACTTTAAATTAATATCATCTTTACAAGGAACTATTATTTTTTCAAGATATACTTAGTTAAGAAACGAGTGCCGATACTCTACCTGATTTTACTAGTTTTTTTTGGGATAGTAATTTCATCAAGTTTTCCTCATGTTCTTCTTTACCTGATCGAAAATATTATAAAAAACCTTCCAATTAGAAATTTAATTTTGTAATTTTTGAAATAGTATGTGAAATTTAAAGTTTAAAAAGAGCTAGACATAAATAAGATATGAATATTTTATTTATTTTATTCTAAGATTATAGCTAATGTTCTATCCTCTGATCTCAACTGATGAATTATGTCCATAGCCGACCTCTTTTTGAGTCTTTAGCAGCTGTATTTTCTCTTCTAACAAGCTTATCTGCATCTAGAGCTAATGCCATAAAATGTCATATCAGAGGCAAAGAAACTAAGTTGTAGTAGTATAATTCTGAGCAACAAATCTATAGTTAGTTATTATAGGAGTAATGAGAGTATTACGCTGTTGCAGAAAATGAAATAATGATTATTTACATTAGTTACCTCTATAGTTCTCATGCTTTAATAATAGCTTTTCTAATCCACTTTCACTTTCCAGTTCTAATTAAAAAGTGAAGGCAAAATAGATCAAATAATTTAACAGAATCGTATCATTAATAATAACTTGAAAGCTAGAGACTATGATATCTTATTTAATTGCTAACTCATAAAGACTAGCAATATTATCGTTGCTAGAATTCAATCGACATTAGATATCAAAGATTTCTAGCCATCCCTATAAATACTCTACATGTAGATATTAATTAACCGAAGTAAGAGTTATCAAGCTCTGGAATTGTAAAATAAACACTGTTTGATGGAATTTAGCTCTTGTCCTTCTTACTTTTAATTAATTCTGATAAGCCAATTTCCGCATTACTTCCTTCTAGATATAATGCAAATCAAACTGATCTCAATAAAAACATGAAAATATTAAAGCTCTTATTCCTTCCAGTTAGTGATGTAAGGAAATCAAAATAATGAAATCCATTACTTAAACTAGACTGGTAATGAAAATTTCCTCAAGATACGCATATACTATCGGTAATCGAAGCAATTTCCTATTGATACTATGTCCGGATAGCAAGAAAGAAAATAGCTTACAACTAAGGCTACAGTAAATGTTGGCTTACAGTAAATACCGTACTCTTTTGAAAATTATCTTTCCAGAAGTCGATAAACAATTGTACTATTAGTATAGAAATTAAACATTATCTAGTCGTAGATTACTTTATCTATTCTAAACCTAGATATTATTGTTAAATTGTAGTAGAAATAGCTATCTTTTTTATAGCTGTATCAATTGAATCATTGTGCAATTCAAATTGGATAAAAGGCATTTTTTCTGAGGATACCATTACTACCTGATTTCGTAAATTTTTGAATTAGACTTGATTGATGAACCACTTTTTTCGAACGGGAAAGCTTTAACGAGTAAGATTCACCATCTCTATCACCTATAATCTAAGAAATATTTCACAATAACGCATTAAAGCGTTAGAACTGAAACAGCTATCGACATCATTTGATACGATCGATCTGTGCGTTTGACCAAGTAAAGGAACATTTAGCAATCTTAGCTGAAGAAAAATAATTCTTTAGTTTCAATTACAACTTCTAGCCATTAAATATGAATTTTGCTATCTAGATTATAGAAATAGAGTCCGGCTTTTACCAGTTTGAATACTTTACTGTCCTATTAAACTGGAGCTAGGGCACGTGCCAATGTTATATTCATTACATATTCTGACTAAAAGATCTTACAAGACACCGAAATGCACACTAATTCTGCTAGGCAATAAACGCGATATAGAAGCGATTTAGTGTAGAGGTCTAATTAAAATGGTTGTTCTATGTTATTGTAATATTAGCAAATATAGTATATTATTTCCATAAGACTTTAAGTATGATGACTCATTTATTAAGAATATTTTTAAGTATTCTTAAACCAGTTAATAAGAATCACTGTAAGAATCTGTTACTGGTATTGGAAGATTTAAAGTGGGAATTTGTAAATTAGGTGTACAGGGTAAAATAATGCGTATCAAGGCCCTAATTTACAATATTACCATAGAATACCAATTTGATTGGCATTTCAGTATAGGATCTCATTCATAACGTTACTTCTGAATATTTGTAAAAAATTTATTAGAATCATTGCAGGATAAAGATTAGAAAGATTATGAATCATTCTAGAAATTCTATTACAGTGCAAAGGGTATGGCAATGTAAAGACCACTAAGTGTTGCACGAGATTAGGATGGCCTTAATTCTACAACTATTACATGTTTGCTTGATGGTATAACGAA